ACCCTCTTTTGATTTTAGTTAAGCTCTACTCAGTCATGTCGAATATATATTACGTCACTCAGTCTACTGATTTCATTTTACTTCTGTTTCTACCCTGCCAATGTTTCTGTGTTACGTAATTGTCATCTGAAGCTCACAATTTCAATGACACATCAACTTCGGAATAATTTCAGTTTTTTTTTGGAGAAATCTATAAAATTTAAAAAGATGAGGTTGTCGATGCAATTTTAACACAGACACAGAAGGCCAACAATCACCAATCAAACTAAGCCCCATCAGGCAACAATGTGTTGTTACTTGTTTACTTTCCAAAAGACCAGTGCACTTTATACTATATGACTAACCACTGAAAGTGGAAAATATGAAAAGACCAGGTATTTTTGATCACAGATGTTTCCATTCTGTCTGTCTTGTTAACTTGCATAATACGGTGAGTAATATTGAGAAGAGACGTAATAATGTTAGGTAGGGAGGATAAGTGCATCCATGAGGTTGTGAGGCTACTATCATTGAGATGGCTAGGATACGTGTTGCGTATGCCGAGACACTGCCTTCCTAGACAGAAAATGTTATCTGACACAGGATTGAGTTGGAAAATAACTAGGGGTGATCAAAACCTGGCATCAATCTATGTGGTGTTCGACAGATATTTTGAGTCACATAAAGAGATCTAGAGTGCCTCTCTGGGATTCTCAGGTTGCTAAAACCAAAGACTGAGGACCATTAGTGATAAGCCTCAAAATCATTTGCAATGGCACAGATGCATACACTCTCTATCCTTGTATGCTAGATGGAGTGTGGCTGTGGTGAGAGCTGTCTGTCAGCAGAATTGGTAGACAGTAGTTTACGTCAATGTTTACGTCCCCAACATTGGTCGTGAGAAAAATAAGAACAAAGAATGATTTAACAGCCGACCACAGCAGACTTTGCGTAGGTGGATACAATTTGCAGATAGATAATCTGAACTTCAATAAACGGCCACAAAGAGATGAAAGATTAACGTTCAGCGAGAAACCACCAATCAGAAGGCTGTGTTTGTCTGCTTACAATAATCTATAATAATCTACATGAAAATGTATAACTATGTATCAATTTCCTTAATAAATGATCTATTGACTGGCCCTTGTCTTCCGTTGTTACATGGCAACTTGAAACACGACACTTCTGAGGTACGTTCCTCGTTGTAACTCAGTAAGCAGCTATAAATATACACAAAGCAGGTATTTAGTAACATAAGAGAAAACGAATTCCGACCACACTAGGAACCGATGACCAATTCACACTGTCACCATTTCACTCTATCAAGATTCCTCTATTTTGAATCACAAACACAGCAGACTGAAAAGCTTACTATAGAGTTCTCTTTATCGACTAACACTTTTAATACCTGGTTCATTCATTCTATTCACCTTGTAGGAGAAAAAGATTTTGCCACATAACGACTTTTAAACGGAAGTAGAGTGGAAGAAATGGTTGAAGTGAACAATAAAACAGTGATGAACATACTTTGAATGATTCATACATACATTGCCTGCTTAATTATAAACTGTAAGCAGGGAAAGCGTTGTATAATTTAACCCTTGTGATAATACAGTCATCACATGCTGATTCATTTCAACTGCATGTCTAGCCTATTTATTCACTTTAAAGTTTTACAGTTTCTTTCTTATTGCTGCTAATCAATACATCTCTCAATTGAAAACCATTAATCTTTGTATTACTGGCGACTGGCCCTATTCAGGTAGGTAGTTACCTGGGGTTCCAATGGGAAGTCGTGACCAGTAGGGTGCAGCAGGTCGGATGTGAGGACAAATACTCGCCGAAGACATTGGCTAGGGGTTGCGCTATATCGTAGATTGGCAAAAGTTAGAATTCATGGGCCATTGGATCGGATCCCAGTGGCTTAATGGCATACGAGCTCCCTAGCCTTGTAACCGGAAGGTCCTGGGTTCGAAACCCGGTGGGTGAGTACTGATGAAGAGTCCGAAACTAGGACGAAACAGCTGTCCAGTACTCCCAGCTGGTTTTCCAATGGTTCTCTAACTGATGTCAGCTCATGATGAAATCCTGTAACCAATCTCTCTATTAGATATACAAACCTCAAGTCTCTACTTTGTGTTATACTCATTGGTATAAGTGAGTATCAGAACAATACGAAATTGGATTTCAAGAAGAAAAACAAACATAAACAAACGATAAGTGGCCTTACGTAATCTAAGAAGAAATATCGGATGATGAATATCACAGTCTTAATGATTATCACACTTCTGAGCGATATTCATAACTTAGTATTATTTTTTTATGGATTACGCAAGATTGCTTTACTAATTACTTGGTGGTAATTAGATTATGAGATTTGTAGGGATATGAATTAATTTAATTTCAACAGTCTGGTATCACTCAGACTCTACTTTCTAAGTTTGTCAGTTCTCGTATTCTACCTACCCTTCTTTATTACTTAGCCCCCCCGCCCCCGCCCCCGCCAACTTAAACTTTCCTGGGCTACTTAAGTTAGACTTTGTTACACTGAGAAGGGCATTAAAAGCTGTCAGTAGGAGTAGGGAGAAGTGGGATGTCACTGAATTAATTCATTAATATCGTTGCAGATAGACACACATGGACTGATGCAAGAAATTAGCGAGTATTATCCTGTCAAAATTTGAGCATCCTCTCTATACACAACTCTCATCAGATAGAACTAAAAGCAAGTGAAGTACTAAAAAAATCTCTACAATACTTTATTTGACGCATATTGTATGGAATGTGAAAAGTGTAGTCAAGAGACTACCAACTTATTGCGTAACACTAAGTAGACAGCCGTCTTATTTTTTCTTCATTATTATATTGTTGTTAATATCTTCAATTAATCTAATTTGATATTCATATTGAATAATATTAACATTGTAAATGCCCTGTTTTAATTATTACCACTGTATTGAGAAAATTATATGCAATACTGTACTACTACTTAATTGCTGAAAATTCCACATTTATACCAAAAATATTGTTTGGAGTAAAACAATTAATATTATATTTTGGTCCCCATGATTAGTGCACACCTACAACTACACCAGGGATCGGAGTCAAGGCCTCCGAGGCCCGTTAACTATTCAATCAAACGTGAATTCTAGCATTGACAAATAGGACAAAGCTGGTGTCCAGTGCTGTCTGGTTTTCAAGGGAACTCTCGTGACTAAATCTAATAACTTGTATTAAGTTTGGTTAATTGAACATCCCCTTAGTGTAATCGAAACGGGATGGTTTGTGAGCTAACAGTTGTTTCCAATAGTTTTGTCTTCAGCCTCACACATGAATCCATGAATAGTGGAATACAGATAGCCACTAAAAAGACAAATGAATTCACTTCAACGTTTTGTCTAGTATTGCATTAAAAACTTCAAAAGAAAATTAGTCTACCACTTCCAGTGTCAATCTTATCTTTGTCCAATCCAATACAAAAAATATGTCGTCACTCTCTAAACATTAGTGTCTGTGGCTCACCCACCACCAAGCATGTGGTTCGGGGTTCGATCCCCGACCAACGAGGCACTCCTTTACCTCACTCACTAAGTCGATAATAAGACTGATAAAAAAGAGGGAAGGTTGAACATGGGGCTAGCAACCCCATCCCGTCAAAATAAAATACCACTGCCACTGAAACTTGTAAGCTCTAGCGCTCACGATCCACTAGGAACGTGAAGGAATAATTTTTAAAAAAAACCTAGTCACAACGGTAAATTCTTTTCCTTTATTCTTTGTGTTCTAAGTGGTAGAACATAGGGTGTCAGTCAAGCTGTTTAGAGTTTAATGAGAAATGGTGTTGTTTTTTATTATGTGGTGGGGTTGGCGACCCCACCACACGCCCTGTAACAGTAGAAGGTAAGACAAGGAAGCCGAGGTACATTCTCAAGTGATCACATTGCTATTTATACACATACAGTTTTATATTCTTTAACCAATCATTGAGTGTGTGATTTGGGCTTACATTAAACAACATGAAATAGAATGTTCAAGTATATACATAGTATCCTGTTGTTAACGCAGTATTGTGTTGTGGGAATAATATTCTGACTCTAGCAACAAATAGAATGTTCAATAGATATCTCTCGTATTCTGTTGCTAATGTTAAACTGAAATGTGGGAATATTATTATTATATCCTTTAATTCCTAGAGCAACATAGGGTTTCAGATGCCCAAGTCTCCATTGCCTTCGGTTTTCTGCCAACTTTTTCACCCCGCTCCAAGTCTGCCCACATGATTTCATCTCCTCTTCACATTACCTCCTCCAAGTCACCCCACCATCGCACTGACAACCAACTCGCCGCTTCCCGTTCGGGTTTCAATCGAGCAATGGCTTGTCTAGTGATGTCACTTGGTAGTTTGCTTTCTCAGAGTATGGCCAATCAATCTCCATTTCTTCCTGCCTATTTGTTTCACAATCGGTTCCTGATGGGTTGGTTCGCTCATTTCCAGAAATCCCTGTTGGTGATCTTTTCTGGCCGGCCATCTGATCTTGAGTGGTATTGAGCGAAGAAGGCAGCTGTTGATGAAGGTCTGTAGTTTGTTTGAGATGCTGTTTATGACGCGCTGGCCAAGTCTCTGATCCTTATAGTATGTAGCACTGACTTTACATTGGAGTTGAAAATCCGGATCCGTTAGAACAGAGTGTCTGTATCACAAACCACCACAGCGCAACGTCATCCCTTTCGTTTTGAGCTTACTACCTACCTGGTAGGTGAAGTTTAGCAGTGTATCGTTCGTGAGTCGAACCCTAACTGCTTATGTGGCTGGTTAATGAGCATTCCTACTCTACTGGACCACCACCGACGTACACCTCTACAAAAGTACAGGTAGGTAGGTATAGGGAAATCATTTACCCTAAATTGTTGTGTCCATTTCTTGATGTCCAATTGTTTGTTTTTTTGTGAAAGCATCTATAGAACATATACATATTTATACATATAATTTTCTAGAAAAACAAAAACAAACCAAACCTCACCTGCAATGGTTTTCAAAAGACATTATTACTGGACAATCACTGGCTACAAATGCTGTATCTCTAATAGCATATATTACATCCTAAATAAATAAATAAATAAACAAAATGAAGAAATAATAATAATTAGGTCAATCAACAAAATCAACAAAATAATTTCATGTTCTATTACGCCAATTACACATTTTCAGATGATTAACTGTGAAGGAAAACGGGGACAAATGATATGTATATACGTAGAGTTTTAGAATGAATGGTGCGTCGGTAGCACAGTGGTTAGGACTCTCGCCGACCATGCACATGGTCCGGGGTTCGATCACCTGCCGACGCACACTTGATATCTATGGTCGGCCTGCAAAATTTGGGCTACAGATATCCATGCTGAAAATTCTATACTTGCACCAAAAATACAGTGTGGAATCAATCTGTAATCAAAAAAAAAATGAATGAGAAAGTAGTCAGTTACTTTAAACATTTCCCGAAAACCAGTCACTGTTTATACCCTTACGACAAAGAAACATTTTAAGTTCTCAATTCATTTCTAACACTAAGTTTTCATACATTTGGTTCCCTTAATAAATTTCGATAAAGAAAGGAAGACGAAATTTGCAGCATAAAATGATATCATTCTGTTTCACAGGTTCTCATCAACTGCAGACTACCTGAAATTACAATGGTTTTATAGATGATAATAACATACTTTAATGTTTCACTGGTGGTAGAGAAGAGATACTATAAAACTGACGCATCCAAAATCAAAGCATTACAATTTTTTTTAGTTTAAGTTTTCATCATCAATTTATACGCTTTTAAAAATGAAAAGAGGGGGGAGGGGTAAGACAGAAAACAGAAAAATTGATTAACAGAACAGTGTTAGCTTGTAGGTTCACATTGCAATTCAGAAGAAAACAAAAGCGTTACAGTTTATGAGATTAAGATTTGTTCAGTGAGTTGAGATAACTGAATTAGATGACTAATCAAAATCAAAATTCTGTTACCAAGGGAGTGAGAGGTTAATCACACTCCCTTTCTGTATGCATAAGTCTGGTTTAAGTCGTTTGATTGCGATCGCCTCGGCAAATCGCAGTAAATTTGCTGTTCTTTGTCTATTTAATATTTTGAAGGACTTAGAAATCTCTACGAGATGTCCGGTATCAACAATGTGTTTGGTAATTGCACTCTGGGAATATCTGCTTCCTTTCAGGCACAGGCCTTTGGGAACATGTTCAGAAAACCGGATAGAAGCCCTCCTTTTCACTCAATAAATAACGTAGAGGGATAAGAAAACTAGATATGATAGAGAAGATTTGTAGCTCAGGTGGATGATTTTGATGTGGTTTTGTTCTCTGAGCTGGATGGTTAGTTTGCGAAGCTTTCATCACCTTACTGGGTGACGTCTTCAGCGCATAAGAAAACGTTTATCACGCAAAGTATTTCAAGTCAGACGATGTCTATCCCATCTGAAGATGAGGTATAACAGTTTTCTAATAACCAAAGCAATCGGAATCCACCTGAAAAAGATAATTGTGTGTGTGTGTTCAGAAGAAATTCACGCAACCAATTTCCTTACCTTAGCCGTTGTTACATGAATGTAAAAAAAAACAGGCGATCTCACCCCCCACCCCCCTATTTCCCCGCCTCCTTCTAAGCCTTTTAAAAGTTATCATTATCCTAATTATACTATTTTTCTGACGACTTCTTCTTCAATTGCTTGTTACGTAATCAATATGAACACTCATTCATTTCTTAATTACTCCTTATTGTTCCAAAATAATGTATTGTGTAGTCTAATTGTTGAATTTTTGCGGTTAGTTCTACCATGTAATTGGCTGTGTTGATTTTCTCGGTTAATTATCACTCCCTTGACACGTCGATGTTGATTAATTATTGTTAATAGAGCTATCACCACTAGATTGATAAATTTTTTGTACTATATTAGAAAAAAACGCTATATGTATTAGAGTAGAGCTATGAACGAGGATCTAATTGATAAGTAAGTATTCAAGTATTGGTTTGTAGGGATTTGATCGGTTGTGAGTTGACATCGATTGGAGAACTGGAAAACCTGGGGATACTGGAAAGCCAGCCGTTTCGTCAGCCTAGTTTCAGACAATTCAGACGTACGCATCCACCACCAGGGTTCGAACCCAGGACATTCTGCGTATAGGGTTAGCGGACTGGTAGACCATTAAGCCACTGGGAATCCAATCCAATTCTAACTTCTGACAATTCACGGCACAGAGTGACCGCTAGCCAATGTCTTACACGAGTACTTGTCCACACCCCCGATGTGCTGTATCCTATTGGTCACAACTTCTCACTAGAATCCCAGGTAACTACTACCAACCTGAATAGGGCCAGTTGCTAGTGAGCATTTTATTGATATTGGTTTGTAGGGATCTGATTGATTGGTTACAGATTAGTAAGTATTTCTTGGTTCAATCCTTATCTCTTCCAAATGTCTAAATAAGGATTTTTATTTACAATAATAAATAGTAATCGTAGATATATTCTGGATGAAGTGGTCACAAATTCAGCGAAGAAAACTATTTTTATCAACGCGATCATCTTCAGAGGCTGTATAGTTGTATTTATACTTACCAAAAATGTATAATAGTCTATTAAATTGACACTCAGCTACCTTTATTCGCATTCAATAACAAATTAACCTTCTCAAATTTATAACCCTTTATTTCCTTGTACCGTTGAGTACTACGTAATTCACAACTTTTATTTTTACTTATAAAGTCACATCTGAATAATTACATTATATAATTATAATTATATGTCACCTTCCCTCTTATTACTTAACGATAGACTACTATATAAATACGACTATACAGCCTCTGAAGATGATTTCGTCGACAAAGAAAGTTTTTTTTCGCTGAATTATCTTTTATTTTCTTCATGATTTAATAGGTATTTTCGGTGATTTGGTTACAAATTGTACAGAATTCTCAGTGTATTTCATTGCAGAATACTCACTCTTCTTCATCCAACATCTTCAAGTAAAGTAAAATATCAACCGACAGTAAGTCACATGATGTACTTCTCTGTTCATTCTAAAGCAAAAGCTAATTCCTAATAATAATAATAATTTTATTTCCCTTGGTCTCTTTCAGCAGAGGCATAGGAATAGTTTGAAAGGCAATTTAAAAATGCGTGTGTATATGAAATAATTTTGCCACTCAAAGACATAGTTGAGTGATTAAAATTAATGGGAAAATTAGGAGATAAAAAAGACTGATCAAAGAATATTCTTTTCGATAACCTGCACATCCGGCTTCACAGTTTCGCACACTCACATACACACACACACACACAAACGCATATGATATTTTGAATAATAATCGATATTGACAATATTGATGTGCATTTTAAAAAAAATATCAAGTTGTTAAGATCAATAGAATGACAGTTCAAAAGTATCTGTAAGTCATATTAGGCATAAAAATGTAATACATAATTGAATATCCTATGAAATTAAGAACAAAAATGTATATCCAACAATTAAAGATAGTTTAAAAAAGTGATAGGGTGAGAGAAAGGTAAGATTTTAACAACGAAGTGATGATGGCCAAGGTAAAGAAATTGTCTATACGAATGTCTTCTGAGCACATAAGTTTGAGTTGTTCAGGTGAACTCTAATAGTTTTAGCCGTATCTTTGCCTGTCAAATGTCAAAGCGACTGCTCTAAACTAAATGGCTTTTTATCAGAAATCAGCAAATGGTCCAAAGAAAAACGGTCTCACCTAAAATCCCTCTAAATGCCAAACAGTCAATTTCACCTTTAGGTATAAATCTGACCTAAACAAACTGGTTAGCACTCACAAGGTGTGCAATATAGATGGCACTGTGGTTAGGACTCTCACCGACTATGCACATGGTCCGAGGTTCGATCACCAGTCGACGCACACCTGAAATCTATGGTCGGTCTGCAAAATTTGGGCTACCCATATCCATGCTGAAAATTCCATACTTGTACAAAAAATACAGTGTGGAATCAAGCTGTAAATCAAAAATCAAAAGAAAGAAACCAAGTCGAAAATTAAATATCTTGGCATCATTCTATCTGCTGATCTTTCCTGGTCGTCTCATATCTTGATGATTTCTAAGAAAATATTCCGTCTTACCTTCTACATCAAGAAGTTAAGACATTCTGGTATAACCCAACCCTTACTCCTACAATTCGTTAACTCTCACATTCTGCCTATTATTCTCTATTGTTCCCCCTTAGTTTTTCCTGGACTGGCTACTGAAGAAAGACTATACCTTATTACGTAGGATGTTAAAGGTTGTCAGCAGGGTAAGCCACAGGGTGCCACTTAACCAGCTTGCTAATATTCTGGTTGACAGGCACATGGACTCATGTGAAAAATGGGCTAAATCCATTCTATCTATCTAACTCACATCACCCTCTTCATTCACAACTCTCCTCTTGTATCTCATCAGGCGAAACCAGAAGCCTATATAGAAAACTATACACGCTCGCACTAGTAAGTACAAAAACTCAACCATACCCTACTTAGCTCGTGTTCTGTGCGATAAAGAAAGCATTAGGCGTGAAACCTTTAACTTATTAAATAGTCAGTAGAACGAACAACTGGATCTCGTCTTTCCAACTCATATCATTTATAGGTACAACGTTTTTCTTTCTTCCGTTTCCTTTTCTCTCTCTCTCTGTCACATTTTTTCTCTGTGATGTGCTGCTTTGTTTCTTTCTTCTGCTTACTCCAGTAAATATGCTACCATCTACTTTTCTAACACCTTAAAACACTCTGTTAAATTTTTGGCCTTGCTACCGGCATTCCAATATGTTGTTGTTATAATGAACTGAGATCTCCTTAATCTATGTAGAATTTTCTTTATTGATAATGTAGTAACTGGATGCAATATTATAGTAAAATGCTGAGAATTCCATTCTGTATCACAAGTACTGTTTTGGAATAAAGCAAATTATTATTATTATTAAGAAAGACGAAGGCAAAATTAAGACTAGACAAAATACGTTAGGCAACTTTATATGCTGTGCTATCATCGAGTTTATGCTCAGTATCTACGAGGCGAAATGAAAGAGAGCAAT